ACTACGAATAATTATTATTTATTTTTGTATTTATGAAGATTATTTCCTTATAATTATTTTGATTAATTAAATGGGTTTGATTGAATCTTTAAAGGTTTTTAATAATAATCATTTATGAAAATTATTTTGTATAATATTATTAATTATAATATTTTGTTATAATTATTATTTGAAGAAAATCATATTTAATTTTATTTTCATTTGATATATATATATATAATTTATTTATTTATTTATTAATTACTAATTATGAATTTTCATAGCTCCGGAACGGGCCGTTCCACTTTAGGAACGGGCCGTTCCAACGCGAGCATTGATGGGTAAAATTTTAACCCAGAACGAGTCGTTCAACTTTGGAAACGGGCCGTTCTGGATGTCGTTTTTAAGAATATGGTATTGTTGAACTCTCCTCATATATATATTATACAATCCCTCCCCCTTTTTTGTTTTTATAAAATATAAATTTTCCACACTTTTCCTCATTTTAGAAGAAAAGTTTTCTCACATTATATCCACACTCATTTGAATGCAATTTTCTACCCTTTCCTCTTCTTAAACATACTAAATATTTTAATTTTCCCTTACTTCTTCACTCATCCATTCCCTTCTAATCAATTTTCCCATTCGTAAACATAGTGTTAGTAGTCGAATTGATGCCAGTTTTACAAAAATTACAATATTACTTTACCAAGACCAGAAAATATAATAAAATAATAAAATAATAAAATAATAAAATAATAAAATAATAAAACAGGCCTAGAAATATTAAAAGAAGTTTGCAAATTATCCCCATCCATCACGCAAACATCCCCCAAAATAAGTTGCGAAATGAGGGATAACACATAAGTCATCCATTCTATTTCCCCTTGTAGTTGTAAACCTAACTTAGTAACTGGAAACGAGAACAAAGAATCAGCATCTTTTTCCTTTCTTTAAATTTACCAGTTTACACGTTCATACATGATTGGGGCACAACATAGTATATAATATTTAATTTACTCTACAATCCTATGGAAGTAATTGTGAAATAATACACAAAGTAATCAAATATAGTGCCATTGTGGCAACAAAGAACAACATTTTTGAGGCGCTAAAGTCGTAGAAGCTACAGAAGAGGTCAATCACCCTCTGTTCACCACCTTTTTACACTCTGAAGAAGAAGAAGAGCCTTTTTTGAAGATGAAGGGGCCGGCGAGCTCTGTAAAAAAATAAAATATAAAGCTCGCAATATAGGACGAATTGCATGCCAAACTCTTGAAACATGCCGGCAACTGCAATCATCATCATAGATTTAGTCTGATCGTGGACGATTAGGACCATTTTTATTGCTTCTGTATAAAGGTAATAGCCACTGCGATCCATATTTCTTTCTCCCATAACACCGCCAATATAGAACAAACAATGACAGAATTACACCGAGGGGAATAGCCCATCTGTTTTTATCACCAAAAGTATTATAAAAAGTATTCCATGAAATCTTATAATTATTCGTGACTAAATGAAAGTGACAAGTGAGCATGGTTAAAAATAAACATGGAACAGATTATAATCGGAATGTTAATAAGAATAAGCACGAATACAAAAACGGAACCAAGGTGGAATTTAGACAAGAAAAAGGGAAAACCAATGCATTCACATGTTTTTTTATCAGCCGTTGAAAATGGATTTTAAAAGCAACTGATGCAAAGGTTTTAACATAAATTCAACTCGAAGTGCCAAAGGAAAAAGTTCAAATTACCTGTCAAGATCCAGGACTGGACTGTAAACAACAGTTTCCCAAGTTGCAACTATAAAATGCCAAACTGGGTTATAGTAAAGTGCCTCTGCCGACCAAAACATTCTTGTGTATGTCTCCAGAAATATAAAGAGTGCCCATGCTCCAATTTCAATCAAAATGAATTTTATAAAAAAGCGGCCAATCACTACCATAACCAGTGAGAAGGCCACCAACCAATTGAAGAGCCTGTGGTTGTACTCCTTTATAAACAGAGACCGAGACTTCCCCAACATCTGCATATCCATTAGTTACACCAAGGCAAATTAAGAATTTGAACCAGTTTCAATTCCGGAAAATTATGAATAAGCTTAATTTATCTACTTCATGGAGAATTGAAACAATTATACTTTTAAAGTTAAATAAGCCTACTATATGGCAAAAAAAAAAAAGGCAACTTGGGATATGTAAGGAAAACTGTCACACCTCCACTAAGAATAGAGGTACAGACAGACACATGAAATATGAAATCAATTATTTCTACGTACTGAGACGAGGCCCCGTGAACTCCAATGTTCAAGTAAATACAAAAGGTAATAAAAACAGAATAAGCCCCCCAAATAATAGATTACAAAAAGTCAAAAACACTGTTAATTGTATCAGACCTTCATCATGCGTTGCTCATAATTTGTTTTTGAAGGTCCAACACATTCACGCTCAAAACTTCGATTGCATTGCAAGAAACCTGCATTAAATTTTGCCAAGGAAGGAAGTTTGAGAACTTGAAGCTGATCCATTATGTCCTCACATCTGGTGTACAGTCCCTCACAGAGCTTTGAAGATTGATACTCATTTTTCAAAACAACATGCTTATACACCTGCATAATTTTCCCCAGTAAATTTTAAGTTTAAATCATCAGTCAAATTCCAGGACCGAAGCAGAGCAAAGGTCAAAAAATAACCAAATCAACAAATATAATCCTGATACGATAACATCAAACATTGATATTAAGAAGCTTAAGAGGTACATGATTCTTCAAAATTTCTCACAATCTCACTGTTCTGACTCTCCCACTGTGCACCCCATGATAAGATTCGATTAGCAAAGTCTTTGTTATTTTCTAGACAAACATGCTGCTCTATATAATTGGTTGGAAACACCATTAACAACATGAAAAATCATATACAGGATCTTCCAAACATATCAAATACCAGAAAAGAGAATTTATTTATTAACTTAATTCATTTAATTTTGCAAAGAACCTTTAGAGTTTAAAACTAGAAAATAAAATATATTTGATAGAGAAAATCACGAACTAGCTTTTGCTAACTGAATTCACTATAAACCAATGATATATTGGGCTTTCAGTCTACTATAGTAATTCAAACAAAACCTGTTGTATTTCTTCATCCAGCTGCATAACTGATTTCTTAGCATGGTGACGACCAAAATGCTGCTGATCAAAGACTTGCATGACTTCATCTCTAGACTTATCATGGGCCCCTTGCAGAGATTCCTCAGGAAGAGGTAGAACTAGTTTTGCCATCTTTTCATTGTACAACTTCAGACACTTTTCAAGAATATTCTTGTTGAAAACCTCCACAAGAGAGCCTGTTGATGGAATCTCTCCCTTGTTCAAGGCTTCAAGTATCTAAATTTGAAATGTCAAAATCAAAATGGTGTAAGGGATATGCACACAATGAAGTCACATCAAAAGCATTATTTTATTTTAATCATTAATCTAAATCTGACCATACTAAAACTGACCAGTGAAATATTCACAAAAGAAAACTCTTACACTTACAAGAGAGTGAAAAAGGTAAAATCATGAGCACCTTGTAAAGTGTCAACTCAAGGTTAATAGTATAACTAGGAAGAAATATATTCTACTCTCACCACGAAAACAATTCCAGAAGACAGATTCCAAAATTTGGTTTCCATTTGTTTAACTATAAATTATTCATCTTTACATTCTCCCCCCAAAAAAAAACTTATATTTAATAGTAGAAACTGCTTCTCAAGCATTCTAACTTTTTTTTCAAAGAAAACCAATTAGATAAATGACATGAAGAGAAGTAAAGCACTGTATGATATTTAGCCATGTTTTGTCCTACATAATTACTCTGCTGGTCCTATAGTACAATAATTATGAAATCGGAGAATATGCAGTCTTCTGTAAAAGTTTTCCATAGATTATTATTTAAAGAAACGTATATCACTCTATGGAAAACTTTTTTAATACTTTACTCCATATCCAACTATGATTAATTTTATTATTTTCTCCTCTTATAGGAACATCCAAAATTAAGTACCTGCTCCAGGAAGGAGACAAACTCCTTCCCATTTAGAGTCTTGCCCTGTACAATCTTTGGAGAGATTATGCTAGCAACAAGCTCTTTCAATTGATCCCTTCTCTTGATATATAATTGATCAAGCTCCCCATCCTTCATATCACAAAGCTTTGTCCGCTGGAGATGTGGCTGTTAAGGTCAAATTTTAACAATCAGTTAGATCAACTAACACAATGGTTTTAACAAAAATTAAAAGACTGCATTTAATATTGCAAAACTTTCCATCAAGAAATATGAAAACATTCATGGCCTACGAAGGTGGATTAAAGATGCAAAGAAAACTATAGATAATTATTAATTGAAATAACACCTGAAAATCATCAGTCAGAAATAAATTACTCCCAATACTACAATTTCATTCTTCAGTTGTATATGTATGTTGGGGTAAAGGGTGTCACATGCTGTGTAAACAACAATAAATATTGAAAGTACTATCCAATTAAATAAAGTGTTGAGATTTAATTTTGAGTCAAAATTTATACATTAAATAAATTATCACTTAACTATATTATGATTCAATAGATGACACGTTGAGTAATTAAGACTGGTAGACAATTAAGAGGATAATGAAGGCCGATGTGCAATGAGAATGAATTGAATAGCTAATTAAAATTTTCTTAAAAGTAATCACTTAAAATGTATGAAAATGAATTGAAACCTATAATACTGATTCACTGAATCACTAATAAATTGTCAATATTTTTTTCTGTTACAGATTGGGTTTCTCTTCACATGAAAGTTGTTCAGTACTTTTCCTTCTATGAGATAATTTTCTAGAAAGATTAATTTATTAATTATTTTAATTTTATTTATCATATTTGTTTATAAAGTATATTTTAATATTGAAAAATAATTATCAATAATTAAAAATATTTTTGTGTCACAAGATAAATTATTTATCATAAAACTAAAATATTATGAAAAGAGATTCACTTAATTCAATAGTAAGTTTATCTAAACTTACTACACTCAATAATTAATGTTCTGTATTAAATTTTAATAATTTAATTAAATTAAAAAAATTTAATAAATAAATTAATTATGCAAATTTTAAAAGTTTTGAAAACTATTTAATAGTCAGTTTTATTAATTCAAATTAATATATAAGATGTTTTTATGATTATTTGTCAATTTAAATTAATGAAATAAAATATCAAATATTTTTATAAAAAAAAATTGCAGACTTTATTTATATACATCAAAAACTTTTAATCTAATGGTTAAATCATTTAAATTTGATGTAGAACATAAGTTATTAAGTACAATAAGTCTAAAAAGACTTAATTTTGAAATAAGTGAATTCCTCATCAAATTTAATTTTTATATTTGAAATTTTATTTATATAAATTTTAAATATATTTTATATATTTAAAATACAATATTTATTAAAATATATAATTTATTATAAATTTTAATTTTATTTAATAAAGATTTAGCTGGTATAATACACATATTAAAATATTAATTTATTTGAATTTAGTATATGAAAAGTTGCTGGAAAAATAAAATAAAACTCACTTGAATGATATCTATGCTTAAAAAAATAGTCTTAAACTAGATGAAAAATATGTTTACCGCGCACCAAAAAAGTTGAATGCCACAAAATTCACTCTTATATATTAATTGTGGTTGATTATTTTGTATAAGAACGTTTTTTTTTAAATAATGAGGAGATTTTTATATCATCTTATCTATTTTAGTTTTTTTTATCATATTTATTACATATTAAATTTTAATATTTTAAAATAGCTCATAAATAATTCAAATTAATTTTGTAACATAATTATTTATTGTAAATCTAAAATATAATTTTTATATATAATATATATATTGAAATATAGTATTTATTTATGGGTTAGGATATGTTGCTATAAGTTCAAAAATTTAAATAAAATTTTATATCTCCAATATTTTTTTTTTGTATAATAAAATTTAATTGATCCAACCATTAAATTATATAATACTATATTCAAAATCATGTATATTAAATTTCATATGATTTCAAAATTATTTAGTAGTTTATCATATTATTTTTTTAACATATAACATGATGTTTAAATATTTTATTTTAAATATATATATACACAAATTTAAATCATATAAAATTTAATATATATAGTCTTAGATATAATATCACATAATTTAATAATTTGATCAATTAAATTTGTATTATACAAAAATTTATTAAGAGTATAAAATCTTATAAAAAAAATTAGATTTATATTTGATGTTAATAAATTTTGATTCTTTATTTATATATATATGTAATTTATTATAGATTAAGTTATATATAACAAACATTTATCATGTGAATTATTATAAAAGCAATATTATGTAAGTATTTTTAAACTCGACAATAAGTAGGTTTTAAAAAATAATTTTGCAGTAAAAAAAAAGTATTTTACGTATTAAATTTTTTTATGTAAAAAAAACATTTCAAGGATTGAGAATTCCACAGTTTACTCTGAAGAGATTAATCTTTCAAACAAAATTAATTGTTATTGATACTAATTTCTTGTATATAAAATATAAATAATTATTTTGTGGAATATTATTTTTAAGAATTTTTCTTTGATGATAAGAGTTCTTTTAAAAAGTTGATTTCATATCTTATCATAAGTATTTATGAATTAAATTTTAATATTTTAAAATAAATTATCAATAAGTATAAATAGTTTTGTGCTATAATATTTATTAAAAATTTTAAATATAATTTATATATTTAAAAATCTCTATTTATTTAAATTTTAAATATAATTTATATATTAAAACTTAGTATTTATTTATATACATATTTTTTTAAAAAAAATTAGTTATATATAATAAAAATTTAATATATACATTGCATAGTTAAAACACGCGGATGTACACACACCCATATATATATATTTTTAATTTTAAAAAATAATTTACATTATGACATAATATTATTTCTAATTATTAATCATTTATTTTAAAAATATTAAAATTTAATTTATAAATATTTATGATAAATAAAAATTAAATTATATATGAAACTAAAAAACTCTCTAAAAATTCTATTGTCAACAAATCTTAAAAAATGTTTTCATGCAAAAGATACTTATTCCTATTCTATATATAGGAGTTAATATATGGTCAAATAGTATTTTCAGCTTAATAAAAAAGTGAGATGATTTTTTAAGTTACTTGATAAAAAAAATTATTTCCTTTATTTATTTGTATAAAAATGAAAGAGAAAAAATATATAAGATTTAATTATTTTTTTAATTTTTATGATTTTATGAACTTCTACTTTTAATCTTTATAATTAAAATATTTCATTTTAATTAATATGCATGTTTTTTTTTTAAAAAAAAAAACTTATAATCTTATAAATTTAACTTTATCCTTCATTAACATCTGGTGAAAACTAAAGGAAAAAGTATAAGAATTAAAATAAAAAAATTTAGCTATAGAAACTAAAAAAAACAAAACTTATAAAATTATAAAGATGGATTATTAAACCTATATATAAAGTAATAAATACAACAACAACAAAATTGTTACAAAATTAAGGATTTTTTTTTTATTCCATTCCATTTTCCTTTCAAATGAGATGGCAATAATCTCTTCCTTCTGTCTTATTTCATGGAGGTCCAAACAATAAAAATATTGCAAGTTTGCAACAAAACAAACAAAAATGGAAGGACTGATTCGTGTACTATTTTCTTTCCCTTCGTAGTCCTTTCTTCCAATTTTTAAATCAAAACAAATAAAGTGTAAAATTTAAAATGAGAACAACTGTAAAGATGAAGTGAATAATTTTTTTTCTTAATGTAATGAAGTAATTTATAATCAAAACCTTACTGGGGAATGTTAAAAGATGCATTTTCTGAAAGTAACACTGAAGTGTCAATACATTTATTTTCAGTTCACATGGTGTAACTTAACTTTTTCAAACTACAAATCAATACAGATTTGAAAAATGCAATAAAAAGATAATAACTAAAAAATAGAATAGTTTTTTTTTTTTTCTCAATCTACAAGTGTATGGTTGGATCCCTCAATTCACAAACGAAAACTATATTAGGTACTGCCAAGTCTATATTTATGTGCAGGCATCATCAGTACAAAATATGAATGGTACTGGTATCTCCCAAAAAAGATGAATAAAATATACAATCCAAAATGTCCACCATCACCGGCCCATATTGAAAATGCAAACCGCTCTCTAAGAAAAGTGCTGTCATCATATTTCATAAATAGTACTAGTGACCAATTAACCATACAAGAGAATTCAACTATCCCCATAAAGTTGTTCAGTCACAGATTTACTACAGAAACAATCATGTGTCAGCTAAACAGGGAAAAACAATTTTACTAATTGACCATACATAAAACAGCAATTTCCAAAGCAAAAACTAGACTAAAACATGTACAAAGCTAACACAAATGTTGGAATAAGAAAACATATTGTATTTAGCAAATTTTCTTGTATTGGTCTAGATTGTTTTTTATCTAAATACATAAAGGGCCTAACAAAAGTAAACAAGCATCTGATATAAAACTTAAAACTATGGTCAAGTCTAGAAACATTGAACTCATTGAAAATGAGTAATGTCCCCATACATCTATATCTTAGCATATCCAAATATCACAGCTAAGCTCTTTATCTATTTTTGCTATTTACTTTTCCGGGAATATCATGAGCCTAGAAAATCAAAGCCTGTACTCATATCAGCCTAGAAAATCAGATCAGAGTCTCAACTCAATGGTAGCCTTCTTTGGTGTTCTGCAAACGGGGCAAGCCTCGAGGAAAGAGTTACAAACTTTGCAGCAAGAAAGGTGCCTGCATGGGAGAAACAGAAAGCACGACCTCCTAGAATGACAGCTTTTACAAAGCATTCTAATCTCTTCAAACTCGCCACAACATTCTACACGGTTTTCCCTTGTTGCTTCTTCTTGTATCTCTTCTTTCCTCCCAGTTTCGCCACAAAAGGACACTGCATCACTTGCCACCACCCCATTGTTCAAAAAATAGCCTCTTTCTGTCATTTCTTCTAAAGTTTTGTAGAGACTCAATGCCATTGTTTCATTCTCTTGTGCCATTTTCTGCCACTTTCTATTTTCTGCTTCTAACCTTATCAAATACTCTTCCAAGTCTAGTTTTTTCTTAACTGCTTGCGCAATTTCTTCATCTTTTTTACTTAAGACATGAAGTGAACGACACTCCAACATTTTCAACAATGCTCTCACTTCTTGTTTACCATGCTCACGCAACATATGTCCCAGTTCCTCATTCTGTCTCAATAATAATTACTAATCAGAATACATATCAAAAATTACAATCTTAACTCGACATAGTACTAACTAAAAGTTGACTCAAATAGGCTTTGATTTCTTTGAGTTATGGTGGGTAAAAAAAAAAAAAAATAGTCAGCAGAAATAACAAATTCGGTCGACTTTATACAAAAACATACTAAACGTAACAAGGGTGTATATGAATTCTAACCTGAGATTTGATATATTGATCAATCTCCTTCTCAAGCATAAGACAATTCACTGGTTTTGAATTATGAACATGAAGATTTGACTGAACAATTCCTTGACTCAAATTATATAATTCTCTGAAATGCTGTTCTGATAGTTGCTGTTGTTGATGATGTTTCTGGTCAAAATTGAGATGAGAATCAGATAGTCCACCAGCCCAAAAATCGTTGTTGCAAAACTGAGAAACAGAATTATTTGTATACCACGGTGCTTGAATACCCATATTCATAGCACCAATCTTTCCAACCAAAGCCAACCTTCAAAAAGGATCAGAACCTGAAACTTGTTAAATCTCCTTCACCAACACATGCACCGATGAAGACATTAATGTTCCAAAGAAGAAAACGCAGCTTTTTTGCAGGTTTTCACGGCGGGAAATTGGGCATGGCATGTACCGTGTTTGTGGCAGTGCTGGCTAGTGGGGATGTGCAAATATATATAATGAATTGGTTGAATAAAAACAAAAATGCTTGCTCAGAAATCTGAGGATAAGAATAAGTTAAGAGTTTGAGTTTATATTTGATATTAAGATAATGTGTTAACATAAGTTACACATTAATGAGGCTGAATTAATGGATTGAGCAGAAAAAGTAACTGAAAGGAGATGAGAGAATTGAAGGGTATAGGGTGGTGTTTGCTTTTTCTCTTTTAACTTTGTTCTTACCCTGTCCTATAAGCATTTAAGAAATAGGTGGAAGATGTGGTAAGCAACATGCATATTTTGTGACTAAACTATCGGGGTCAGAGATTTGAGAGGCGTTTGTTCTGCTTTGAATAAATAAAGGAATTGGAATATGAAGTAGGTGGCAAGTGAGAAAGTCACAGGAAGCTGTGAAATTTGTCAGTTTGAAAAGGATTGGATTGAAAGTGTGTGTGTGGAATTTCTTTGTTACTATACTAAACCCTGTCTCCGAATTCCTAGCTGTCTTTTCTCTTTTTTCTTGGTTGTTTGTTAATATTGTATTGCGTTGATAAGTCATAACCATGAGAATTTTTAGATACCAAATGTTTCTTAGATGCAATTAGTTTTTACATGCTAAAAATATGATACTGATTTGTGAAGAAAAGGAGGGAGAGATAAATAACCAATTAAAAAAAATTATCATTTAGATTATAAGTTGTGTAACTTTATCTACATTGTCAAGACATAATTATTTTTGTTCTGAATTGTTTGATTTTTAAAAAATTTAAATGTTTTTTCCATTAGATTTTTTATTTTTTTAAATTAATTAAAAATATATATTTTTAATTTATATTATTATCTTTTTAAATAAAAAATAATTATATTTTTCTAATTTTTTTTTATAAATTTATCAAATTTTAAATGATAACTATTTTTAAAAATGATAACCACACCTCTACGAAGTGATTATTTCTCCTTCATGTTAACAGGTCAGCATTTTCTAATTAGAGTGTTGATTTTTTAAAATAATATTTAGAAAATTTTTTAAGAAATTAATAAACATCTTTTATTAAAAATTTAGTAACGGCATTTCTTTTTTGTGCATCTTTTATTTTTGGCTGCATTTAGTAACAGTATACAAGCAATCTCTTTGAAGAGAAAAAAAAAAAAAAAACATTTTGAATTACTTAATTTTATATTCTAATATAAACATTTGTTAACATTTTCTAAAATTTTATATTCTTTTAGTTTTGTTTGAGTATAACTAGTATTTTTGTCTGCAGATATATTTTATTTTATATAATTGAAATTTATCTATAATCTATAATAATTTATAAATAGAGTTTTACTTTTCAATAGCTAATTTCATTTCTTTATATCATAGTTATTTTTTCTGATTATTGTATTTATTTAAATTCAAAAATAACTTAAACTTAAATTTTAATTTTTACTCATCAATACCTATCATCACTTATCATCATAATTTAATCACAATTTTTCTTGTAACGACAAATGATTATTTTTCCATTTTATTATTCTATATTTGTTATCATTTATCTTCTATTTTGTTAATTTTATATCTCATTTAAATAAAACACGTAGACTTAGAATAAATAAATAATTTTAAATACTTAAAATATAGTATAAATAAAAATTGTAACAAATAATTTTTTGTCATATATATTATATTTTAAATGATGATAAATAATTTATATTATAATAGTAATTATTTTATTTATTAATAAAATTTAATATTAAATTTAATTTAAAAATAAATAAAATATAGATTAATGAGATAAAATAATAAAAAAAATCGTAAAATTGCTCTAAAAAAATATCATAATTTATATTTAAAGAGTGGTTTGAGCTAACAAGTAATATCTTAAATTGTATTGTGTGTTAATAAAATACAAAGATAAATACTAATCAACATTATAGTTGTTGGGTGGGGAGGGGTTAAGATAGTTAGAAGCATGAGGACCTAGGTTCAATCCTCATTGCGATCATCTCTGTAATTTTTCTTATCTTTACCAAAAAAATTAGCATTATAGTTGTGGAATGCATATTATAATTATTAGTATTTTATTATATATAAAAATTTAAAATAAATTATGTATGCAAATAAATATTATATTTGAATATATAAATTATATTTAAATTTAAATAAATAGATATTTTTAAATATATAAATTATAT